GATAGAGAGAGAGAGAGAGAGAAAGAGAGAGAGAGAGAGAGAGAGAGAGAGAGAGAGAGAGAGAGAGAGAGAGAGAGAGAGAGAGAGAGAGAGAGAGAGAGAGAGAGAGAGAGAGAGAGAGAGAGAGAGAGAGAAAGCGAGAGAGAGAGAGAGAGAGAGAGAGAGAGAGAGAGAAAGAGAGAGAGAGAGAGAGAGAAACAGATATGCAACTGCCTAAGCATCTCATCACAAATCAGCCTATCACCGTAAGAGCAGCGACACAACAAGTTTACGAGCGTGATCAAAATAACGGACGGTGGTGACACCTGGTGCAAGGCTAACCGTGCGACCAAACGTGTCGAAGTGACTGTTCGTAACCACGGAGACGAACGACAAATCACTGAGCCTGGTAAATACAGAGCTACATGGAGACGATGCACAGACGATCAGCAAAAACCCAATTCGCACGCGTCTCAAAATTCCGCGTGCCTCCTCGAGGGTTTTTACGAACATGAAAAGCTGCAACGGCAGCAGACTAGAACAACGAGAAACGCTTGAAGGGCGCGACTTTTTTTTGCGAAACGCCGCGCACGCGACGTAATCGTGAAAAAAACACTGGGAATGTGGCGAGAGAGAAAACCCTCTCGGAGATCTCACTCCGATCTTTGGTTCGCTATAGTAACGACGTAAATAACAATCGTAAATAAAACCATGTGCGACACGGACTGCAGAAACGTGACGAGCGCCTCTTGTCTGTCCGATTAATTATCACAACACATCTATACGCTTATCAAGGTCACCCCGAACTCAAACGTTAAATTCTCGTCTGATGTTAGAATCCGCCGACAGGGGGCGCTGATTGGGTCTAACGAAAGCATCGCCACGGCAACGACGACGCGCGACGACAAAGTGGGTGGAACGAAAAATGGCGAGCGCACACGCGTACTCACAGAGCGGGCCCGGCGCGGAGAGAGATCGACGCACGCGACGACGGCTAGGGGGGCGCCGTTGGCGGCGCGGACGGAGTCAGAACGGGTTGATGTGCACAGCGCTCCCTAGCGGAGAAAACGCGTTGACCTTGGCCCACATGAGCGCGTCGTTGAGCGAGACGGCCGATTGTCCGTCCTCCAGGTAGAAGACGGGTCCCTGCAACGACGAGGTCGCGGGGTCAGAGGTCACGCAGCGGTCACCGCGCAACCTCGGCGTGCGGTGCGAAGAAAATATCTTGCGTGCGGGAGTCGTCAGAGTTTGTGAGAAAAGAAATGCGGATGAAGAAAACGAAGAGTGGAAAAAAAACCTGCGCAGGAAGTAAAATGCGGATCGAAGAAAAGTGCAGATCGAAGAAAAAAAATGCAGACAAAGAAAGCATGATTAAAATTAAACGCGGATTATGTAAAAAACGTGTACCAAGTAAAACGAGGACAAAGAAAAACGCGAAAGTTTCGCGGTTTTCGTCGTCCATTTTTTTCTCTGCGTACCTGTATCTGTTCTCCGTCCAGGTATGACAAGCGCACGTCGGAGTGGCTGGGCAGGTGAGAGCTGGAGACGAGGACGGGTCCCTTCTCCACGTCGTCGTCGTCGTCGTCGTCGTCGTGGCGACCAGTCTTACGCAGCAGTTGTGCGTACACGCGCTGCTGCTCTCTGCTGATGTCCTGCTGACATACCGACCTGCGTGCGACGATGTAATGCGTGAGTGTGTGCGTTTGTATATATGTAATAGATAATATATATATATATATATGTATATATATGTATATATTTATGACATGCAATAGATAATATACAAATCGATGTGTATTATTATTTAATGCACATATTATTATTTAATTTTACACATAATGATATTTATCGACAATGTAATGTGTGCGCGCGTGTGTGTATATATATGTATAGGTATATATTTATATATATATATATATATACACGTGTGTGTGTGTGTGTGTGTGTGTGTAAGTGCAAGCATGCACACATCATATAATACACATTGCTTTACCTGTTGCGTGAGGAGGACGCGCCGCGGTGAGCCTTCCACGCGTCTACCTCGGTGTCCACCAGTGAGATGGTAAGCGGGATCGACGTTTTCTCCATCCGGCTGATGATGTGCCTGCCGGGGGAATCGCTCAAATGTTAGCAACAATCACATTACATACTCACATGTTAGCAACAATCACAATAACGTGTTCACATGTTAGCAACAATCACAATAACGTGTTCACATGTTAGCAACAATCACATAACATGGTCACATGTTAGCAACAATCACATAACATGTTCACATGTTAGCAACAATCACATAACATATGTTCACATGTTAGCATTGAATGTGCAGGTTAGAGTGCGTCGGTAGTACACTACCCACCCGCCCCCTGTATACACTATACCTATGCAATGAGCACACTCACTACAACACACATAGATTTGACTGCTGAAGACATGAAACCGTGTTATATATATATTGTTACAATATAATGGGATATATATGGTATATACCTGTATATACCATATAATGGTATATATATAGAGTGTTAAGAAACACGGACACCCATGCAGACATAGAAAAAATATAAATGTAAAATTCACACCTCATTCTATTTTTACATTAATATTTCCCCTATACATACATATATATATATATATATACATACACACACACACACAGAACAAATACAATACAATGTGTATAGTATAGTATTGCCTCTTGTGAGTGGGCACGCAGCTTCGAACATGTAATGTGGCGTTATGTACTTTAAATCTTTTGTACAATACAGATACACTACAATGTGTATTGTAGTGTGCTGTTGTGTTGTCGTCATTGTTGTTGTTGTTGCTGTTGCTGTTGTTGTTGTTGCACTTACCTGGCGCATATGAAGAGAGGCGTGACGATGGAGTCGTAACGGCGTCTGATCGCTACCAGCGCCCCCACATACGCACTCACAAGCAACAGCTCTGCCTTTAACCTGCCAAACAAACAACGCGTGCAAGGGGTTGTCAAAATTATTGGGGGCCCGTTGTCAGAAACACATCCTGGTTCGGTACCATAGAATTGTGAATATCATTGTGGATTTGAGTAAATATCACGCCGTTGAGCAAAGCATTCGATCCACGCAAGTTAATCAAATGATCAATAAGCATTAAATTGACTACGTCACGAATTTTCTATGGTAAAATTTGTAACATTTTTGTTGCCATTTTTTTAGATTAAAAGTAATATAATGTAATAGTAATATAATGTAATGTACTGGTATATAAGTAGTATAAGAACAAACGGGACTAAACGTATCGACAAATTCTTACCTGATAAGATTGTTTCTCAACTAGTTAAAAATCCAAAAAACCTGGACGATTTGATATTTGTGTTCCTGACTTTAATTGCTTGCTATGGGCTATGTATGCGTCATGAGTGTATGTTCACATCGAACAATATAGTAAAATAAGAAGTATAATGCAGCAATTTAACCATAAAAAGTGAACAGAATTATTGTGTATATTCCGTGAAAAAGTGGAAATTTTGTTTTTATTTTTTACTATTTACGGTGACGTAATCACTTTAAGTATTAAATCAGCAAAAGTTACGCTCTTCCACACTGCGGCCCTCTACCCTGCCGTCGTCCCGGCTTTGCTTATCAAATCAGCAAAAGTTACGCTGTTCTGCGTGCCGCTCTCGCCCCGGCTACCCTGCGGTCGCCGCGGCAACCCACCTGCCGCACTTGGGATGCTGCAGCTTGTCAGTGCGCATGCATCCGAGCAGACGCACAATCGGCCACACGTCGTCTGCCGTCCAGTCCGCGTGCCCCATCGCCGCGGCGACGCGCGACAGCCCCATCTCGAGCCCCGTCTCCGGCGACGACGACAGCAGGTAGTAGCGCACGCACTCGTACAGCCGCTCTTCCGACAGCCGGCCGTCCCCCCCGTCTGGCAGGTTGCTCAGCTGTTCCGCCTTCTGGAGGCACTCGTGCAGCGACGGCAGGCTGGCCTGGGTGACGATCGAACGACGTTCATGTACATATATATATATATATATATATATTAATAATATATTTATATATATATATAAGGTGTTATAACACGTTTACTGATGACGTTGGCTAGCCCGAGAACTGTAGAAGCTGACAGACCACCTTTACTACTTGTGGCCTACTTGCCGCAATATGTAACGCTCGTTGTGTAATTTTCTATTACCAAACTCCAGGGCTACGGGGGTACGTGGGGTGGGAGGTCATGGAGGGGGGTTACGCTGGGAGGGGAGTCATGTCCTCACCTGCTTGGTTTTACCAAACTTCGGGGGTGTGGGTGGCTGCGAGGGTGGTTAGAGGTCATATACCTGCTTGGTTTTACCGAACTTCGGGAGTGTGGGTCGCTGCGAGGGTGGTTAGAGATCATATACCTGCTTGGTTTTACCGAACTTCGGGAGTGTGGGTGGCTGCGAGGGTGGTTAGAGGTCATATACCTGCTTGTGAAGGTCGTCCAGCTCACTCGAGCTCGCGCTGCACCGGATACACAGCTCCGCTAGCGCCTCCTTGGTGTGAGCGGACGTCTTCAGCAGAGACAGCGCCACCTCCCTGTAACGGTGGCAACGACGGTAAATGTCGTCTGATAGGTAAGGATGGTGTGATGCCATTGTTGTTGTTGTTGTTGTTGTTGTTTCGCTGTTGTTGTTGTTGTTGTTTCGCTGTTGTGTTTGTTGTTGTTGTTGTTGTTGTTGTTTCGCTGTTGTTGTTGTTGTTATTTTTTTGTCGTTTTTGTTGTGTTTTTGTGTGTGCTTGGTGTTGTTCTTGCTGTTTTGTTATTGTCGTGTTTGTTTTATTATTGTTGTGTTTGTTTCGTTATTGTCGTGTTTGTTTTATTATTGTTGCGTTTGTTTCGTTGTTGTTGTGCTTTGTTTTGTTGTTGTGTTCGTTTTGTTGTTGTGGTTGTGTTTGTTGTTGTTGTTCTTCTTCTTCAGCAACAGAGCATGAATAGTTTTCTCCACCTTCCTGCAGTGCTGTAATTGTGGATTATAGGAGTCTGCTACATGGTGATTCTACGCATGCATATAGATCAAGAGTAGATAGTAGAGATAATAGAGTAATAACAGTAGATAATAGAGTAATAACAGTAGATAATAGAGTCTCTATTATCTACTCTTGATATAGATATGACAACGACAACAATCACTACATCACATAAGAACTGTTGCAATGAATCTAAAGCCCAGCGCACACGTGAATAATTTTACTCAAGTAAAATGACGCACGAGTCATTTTACTCACGTGTGCGGCGGACTTTCGTTGAGTAATTTGACGCATGAGTCATTTTACTCACGTATGCGGCGGACTTTCGTTGAGTAATTTGACGCATGCGTCATTTTACTCAATATCAAACGTGTTTTATAATTTTTGACTCGTGCGTCATTTTACTCAACGTGTGTGCGCGCGCTCTGAGTAAATTTACTCAACACTGGTACTCACAACGCATGCGTTTAAATCATTGTGCGCCCAGTATTGGCTGCGCACAGTCACGTGATCTGCATTACCACTTATTCCTTAGTAATTTTACTCACGTGTGCGACGAACGCTGAAAATATTACGCGTGAGTATTTTGACTCATGCGTCATTTTACTTGAGTAAAATTACTCACGTGTGCGCCGGGCTTTACACTATCAAGAAACAGAAGATAAGAGAGAAGATGACGACATTTACAAATTAGTATTTAGCGCCCACAAGAATGAAGGACGTTCCTATACCTATACCTACGTACGTTCCTGAAATTCAACATATGAACGCACACTATGACACGACCCCATGCATATTAAACCTGTGATATTACTTTACACTGAGATAATAACACACGTCAGGGTTCTCCCGAGGTAAGCTTGCCTTCAAAGTTGAAGACAATTTACAACATCCCATAATTCGTCTGAAATGCCTCAATCACGTAATCGACATGCCTTAATTTTCGGCCATGTAAAGTTTTAACAATCCTGTTTTTTCACAACTCGATATATGTCTCCAAACTGATTGAGTTTACCTGTATATTGGGGCCACTTATGAAACACATAATTGACTCCTATCAGTACAACCCCCTTCCAGGGCCCACCCCCCATCCGTCTTTAGATGATGTACCTTCTGAGATTCCTGGGGGAGAACCCTCCCTGTACGTGGTAACAGCTATACATGGGTAATACATGAGACTGGGCGCTACACACGCATGCACGCTGCCTGCAAGCATTCCACAAGCAGCGATTACTTATCCTACCTGTGGTCGAAGGGTGGAACGCTTGGAAACAAACGCATTGCAACGATTACTTAACGCACGAGGGGTCGTTGTCATATCAGGTACTACATATATGTACCCGAGGTAGTTTTAGGTTGTTTAGTATTATGTTTATATTTTTATATGAGGTATGTTTAGGGTTAGAGTTAGGGTTAGGGTTAGGGTTAGGGTACACTTCTGTAGTACAAGTCTGGTACACTTTGTGTATACATATATGTACCTCGCGTACATATATGTACCTCGGGTACATATATGTAGTACCTGATGCGACAACGACCCCTTCAGCATTACTTACATGGTGCGAGCGTACTCTGCCGGCTAACCCCCTTTGCTCTCACTAAAGGTGAGGGCCTCAGGTACGGCCCCTTACGCCTCTAGGTATGCCTACAGGTAATTAAAGGCCTCATGCCTCTCGGTACGACTACAGGTAAAGCCCCTGCTGTAGCGGGACTGAAGAGGCTACACCGGTAGAGCTGGGTGAGAGGGGAACCCGCCACGACACACACGACAGAGACGCATAGTCGCTCGGCAAACGACGGAGATGCCAGCACGGCTAGCACGATGTGCGTGCGCGAGAGAAATGTTCCCGAGTGAAATGATTAAAGCTAACACGTGTCCTTTTCCCCCCTAAGATGGTAATAGATCATATAGATAATTATTAAATACGATGATATAGAGTAAGATGGTACCCCACTCTCCCGAGGTATGGAAACGAAGATCGTGCGAGTGCGCGTGCACAGGATCACAACTGATCCCGCGTTAGATCATCACTATCAGCGTTAGATCCGCCCTGATTCTGATCCGGATCGCACCCGAAACGGACGCAGCACCGACGCGCGAGAAACCGAATCTCCGGGAAAAGACCGACGCGCGTAGGGGGCGCCTGCGTGCCTCGCCGCTTGGAGACTCACCACTTGTCCAGTCGCTCGCATCGCCGCGAAAGATAGGAGAGGGCGACGGCGGTCAGATCTGGCACCGTGCCAAGTACGGTTCCGACGCAGACGGCAAGTTCGAGTTCGTTCCCGCGGATGAGCTTACACATCGCCTTCTGCAAACGGACGGATAAAGGAACAGACGGTCGGAAATTTGTTCAATTTGACATTTTTATGATTTTACAACTGTTGTAATTATTCTGCAAATGCCGAGAGAGGACGGATGGTTTGGAAAAATGTTTTTTCAATTTTCCGAATTTTTTGGTTGGATTTTAAAACTGGCAATGGCAAAAAAATCTCGATCATTAGCGCCTGGGAAATGTCTAAATCCGTTTATCAAGTTGGACGCGTCGTGCCACCGTGTTCGTTCGAACGCACGACGACACGCGAGAAGAGCGAAAGAGGAGCAACACTCACGCTGTAGTTATCGACCGCTAGATGGCAGCATGCAGCAAGCGTTGGTGATCCGTCCTGGAAGTACAGCTCACCTAACGCTTCGACCGTTTCACCCAGCAACCTGACAGCGAAATACATATATTGATGTTTAATTACTACTATATCATCTAGTACGATCTATGATAGCAGTACCCGTGCACGATCTTATTAATTTCGAATAGTACTGAGTTTAAATTCCAAGATGTGAATTAGATCTAATTCTATAGAAAATCTCTGCGACAATAAAAAAAAAACGCAAATCAATTACTTCACCTTTACATGCCACAGATGGCGACTGCGTCGACGCGTCTGATCGCACCTCCTGCGCAATGCAAGCGCGCGGCGACACTTACCGCGAGTGCGACTCTTCGTTCTCCGCGGCTTCGTCGTCAGCGACGTCGGGGTTCTGCTGGGCTGGCGCTCGCGGGGTGCGGATGCGGCCCTCACGCGCCACGGCAGCAGACAGCATCGCTTCGTGAAGCTTGGAGCGCGACGCGTAGAACTCGACGACTGCCTCCGCGTCGCCCGTTGCCACGAGATACGGCACCGCCTCCTCACTGTCCTCCGCGCTCAGCTGCTCCGCCCGCCTGCAACGTGCAGCACACAGAGCCATCTATGGGCAGTCTTCGTAACTGTGCGTCACTTATTTTTTAAATTTTGTAGAAAAAGAATTGTGAAAACGCGCAAAGTATATATACGCATGTTAACTTGGGTTAACATAGATTCGCTGTAATGATGCGATGTATAAATAACTTTACAGTTGGCTTTACTACAATCAAACCTGTATAAATATTCACTGGAGTAAAACCAAACAAAGTTTCCTTTATAAATAGGAGTCCGTTCTACAGAAGTTGTTTTAACGTATCGCTCTAACTAAAGGAAAATGCCAATATTGTTTGTTACATAGAAAACGTCCATAATAGAGACGTCCATTTTATAGACGTTTCTAGTAACATGGGTTTGAATACTTGTGTTATAAAGTGTTTGTGCTTGGACACTGGACAGATAGAGATATTACGGTAAAGGTCAGAACATCAGAGTCGAACGTGAGGACGATTGTACGTAAATACCTCTTTGCTAGTGACGTCCAGTATTCCATGGACACACCAGGTGCCACTGCTAATGCTTTCTCCCACTGTAACACACGTAAAAATTCTCTCATTTCTCTTCACACATCTCTTTTATAAATAGAATTATAAATAATATAATTAATGTAATCTATTATTAATAAAATTAATTTTATAAATTTCGCGCAAACTTATTCACTTGACACGAAACGCCAATCAGAAACAGATAGCACCCAAACGGCTTCTAATCGTTAACACTAGTAATGCATTCACACAAATACAAGTACCAATCGCATACACACGCTTGGAAACTTGGAAACTTGGAAATGAAACTGCGATGACAAACGGAAACAAACGCCTTGCATCGGCAGCATAACTCTAAAACAAAACGGCTCATTTTCGAATTTTGATATTCTAACTTGGGACGATTCGCGTCGACATCCCAACGAAAGGTTACGTCGATCCTACATTCCGTCGATTTCCAGACTCGCTACCTCTCACCCGACGCGTCAGCGCGCTCTCACCTCTCCCAGTCCCACCAGCATCTCACAGTAGCGTTGTACGTTCCCCAGCCACAGGTAGATGGCAGCAGCGTCCTGCAGGCACTCGTCACGCCCCCGCGCGCCGACCCCGCCCGATCCAAACCTCGCCACGCTCACCATCTCTAGCTGACTCGCCTCCGACTGCAACGACAGCGGGGTCAAAGGTCAGAGGTCGCATCAAGGTTAGTGTGTTGGGAGTATGGGGTCGCGCACCGACGGGGGTTTTGACGTTATAATGATGGTTCTCCCTCGTTATAAATGGTTAACTAAATGGATAATAAATAAATAATAAGTATATAGTTGTATGAATAAACATATATAATATTATTTATATATATATATATTATTTATATATTTATTTATTATTAATTTACTTATTTTTTTATTTATTCACACATATTTGTTTATTATTTATTTATTTATCTGTTTATTTATATATATATACGGCGGCGACATGCACGCCTCGCTATGTCGCGAGAGGTCAGTGGCGCCCCCTCGAGCATCGTGACTCACCGCCTTGTAGCTGGTCATGTGTTTGAGATGGACGATGCCTCGAGCGTACGACTCCGGCAGATCCGCCGCGCCGCCATTGCTCACCACGCTCACCAGGTTCCACAGGTTGGTGGCTCCACCTGGTGCCTGCGAACACACAACGAGGACGATTACGTCAACTCAGCAATGACGTCACACCACGTTATCAGGAGTGAATAATAATAGATCTATTATTATTCACTCCTGACGTTACGCTACGTTATATTATAATACATTACAATACATTCACATTATCAGGGGTAGGTATCGACAAAGATTGTCAGATTTGTCAGAAGAATGACGTATGTGCCGTTATCTACCGCTGACATCATGTTACATCACATCACACTCATGTTACAGTACATCACATAACATCCCATCACATCACATCACATTACGTTACGTTAACTTACACTACATTACGTTATATTACAATACATGATCGCATCACACACATTAATTTTACACGCACGAAAGACGTGCGACATTTGCAGACGAAAGGCGCGTGACGTTTACGCACGGCAGACACGTGATACTGACAGACAAACAAACAATTATAATAAAATTACTTAGTTCAATCAATTATAATTAATTAGCACCGGCCATCGCGCGGAATACCCTCTCGCCTCTATCGCATTCCAGCCTCGCGACAGCGAAAAAGTCCACTGGAAAACACCGCTGTTGCCGCGGTGTCTCCTCTCTCTCCCTCTCTCTCCCTCTCTCTCCCTCTCTCTCTCCCTCCCTCTCTCTCTCTCC